CTTCCTTGAAGCTCTGTATACGGGGAGAATAACAAGCAGAACACTCATCTAGAAATATGAAGTCTTCTGTTTTGTCTCACTGTCCTCAGTATGTGTGTGCATATACTCTGCAGCTTATATTTTAACCTAAGCATTTGTACACATGTATAAAAATAGTATTTCATTCAATAACATTCAATAAACGTACATTTTGTGTGCATGTGTGTGATGTCTTATACCAGTAGTAAAGTCACTGGGTTTTACCTCCTATGTTTTTAAAATTTTAACATAGTTTTCAGTGGAAAAAAATTTGAAAGAGTCCATGAAACACTATCTTCCATTTAATCCAGAAATAACTGCCATCTTCTGAGATTCACAGAGCACTTCTTCCTCTTCCATGTGGGTGGTGACGAAGCAGCACCACGTAGTCCAAGGGCAATCAAAAGAGACTTCAGGGCCTTGGGACAGTTGGTAAAGGAATCTAGACCACAGGTTATTTTTTTTTCCCTCTCTCCTTGCAGTTGCAAGCAGCAACATTGGAACAGACAGATAGACCCCGTCTATTAATACATGGCTCCATGGCTGGTGTCACCAGCACAATTTTGGGATTTTTGATAATGGGATGGTCTATATATAGACACCAAGCCTACTGGTGTTGGATGGGATTCACCTTCCTCAAAGGCAGAAGAGGGTCTTTCCTCATGAGCTAGCAGGGCTCATTGACAGAGCTTTAAACTAGACTTGAAGGGGGAGAGGGATAATATCAGGCTTGCCCATGGCAAGCTGTGGGATGACATGCCAGGGTTAGATGGGGTGCTAGCCAGGGCCCTCAGCCTGTTGCTCTGAGATGTGCTGGGTACACTGGAGCACACTTGAAGTCTTACAGAGATGAGCCAGGGGCTCCTGAGGTAAAAAGAGCCAACAAGGAAGCACCAGTGAAATACCTCAAAGGAACTAAGGGGTGTTCCTCTAAGAAGGTGACATGGCCAACAGCCCAGCTGAAATGTCTCCACACCAATGCACACAGTATGGGCAACAAACAGGAGGAGCTGGAAGCCACCATGCTGCTAGAAAGCTATGACCTAGTCACCATTACTGAAACTTGGTGGAATGCATCCCATGAATGGAGTGCAGCTGTCAATGGCTACAGGCTGTTCAGAAGGGACAGGCAAGGAAGGAGGCGCGTAAGGGTTGCCCTCTACTCAAGAAAAAGATAGATTGTGAAGAGCTGTCTCTGAAGAATAGCCATGAGCAGGTTGAAAGCTTATGGGTAAGAATTAGAAACCAAGGCAACAAAGGGAACCTTGCGGTTGGTGTTCACTACAGGTTGCGTGATCAAGGAGAGCCTATTGATGAAGCCACCTTACTCCAGTTATGGGAGGCATCGTGCTCACAGGCTCTCATATTGCTGGGGGACTTCAACCACCTGTTGGGAAAGTAGCATGGTGAGCTGTGGGCAATCCAGGAGACTCCTGGAGTGCATGGAGAATAGTTTCTTAAGCCAGGTAATAGACAGCCTTACAAGAGGGGATGCAATACTGGACCTGATGGTCACCAATGCAAGTGAGCTAATCGACATCAAGGTTCGAGGCAGCCTGGGCTGCAGTGATCATGCACTGGTGGAGTTCGCAGTCCTGAGGGCTATGGGTCAGGCGAAGAGTGGTCAGGACCCTGAATTTCAGGAGAGCAAACTTCCAGCTGTTCAAGGAGTTAGTCAATAGGACCCACTGGGAAACTGCCCTCAGGGACAAGGAAGCAGAACAGGGCTGGCAGATCTTTAAGGATGCCTTCCATATAGCGCAAGGGCTCTCAATACCCAGGTGTAAGAAGTCAGGAAAGGAAGGCAAGAGACCAGCATGGATGAGTTGAGACCTGCTGGTCAAAGTAAAGGGCAAGAAGGAAATGCACAGGCAGTGGAAGCAGGGACAGGTATCCTGGGATGAGTACAGGGATGCCATCCAGTTGCGTAGGGATGGGGTTAGGAAGGCACAGCTGGAGGTGAATTTGGCAAGGGATACAAGGCATAAGAAGGGCTTCTACAGGTATGTCAGCCAGAAAAGGTAGGTCAAAGAAAGTGTACCGCTCGATGAACACACCTGGCAAACTGTTAACAATGGACAAGGAGAAGGCTGAGGTACCCAACAACTTTTTTCTTTTGCCTCTCACAGGCAACCTCTCCCCACACCTCTTGAGTGGACGGACTGCAAGACAGGGACTGGAGGAGCAAAGTCCAGTCCCCTGTAAGAGAAGAGCAGGTTCGTGACCACCTGAGCAACCCGAACATACATAAGTCTGTGAGACCTGACAAGATGCATCCCAGAGTTCTGAGGAAAATGGCTGATGTAGTTGCTAAGCCACTCACCATGACACTTGAAAAGTCATGGCAGTCAGGCGAAGTCCCCGGTGACTGGAAAAAAGGAAACATTGCACACGTTTTTAAAAAGGGTAGAATAGAAAGGAGGACCCTGGGAACTACTGACCTGTCAGCCTCACCTCTGTGCCTGGGAAGATCATGGAGCTCCTAGAAGCTATGCTAAGGCACATGGAGGGCAGGGAGGTGATTCGGGACAGCCAGCATGGCTTCACCAAGGGCAAGTGCTGCCTGACCAACCTAGTGGCCTTCTATGATGGAGTGACTACACCAGTGGACAAGGGAAGAGCTATAGTTGTGATCTATCTGGACTTCTGTAAGGCCTTTGACATGGTCCTCCACAACATCCTTCTCTCTAAATTGGAGAGGTATGGATTTGATGGGTGGACTGTTTGGTGGATGAGCCAATTGGTTGGATGGTCATATCCAGAGGGTAGTGGTCAACGGCTCAATGTCCAGATGGAGATGACAAGCGGTGCCACAAGAGATGACAAGCGGTGTCCGTCAGGGGTCGATATTAGGACCAGTACTGTTTAATATCTTCATCAATGACATAGACAGCGGGATCAAGTGCACCCTCAGCAAGTCTGCAGATGACACCAAGCTGAGTGGTGCAGTCGACATGCCTGAGGGATGGGACGCCATCCAGAGGGACCTGGACAAGTTCACGAAGTGGGCCTGTGTGAACCTCATAAGATTCAACAAGGCCAACTGCACAGTCATGCACATGGGTTGGGGCAACCCCCGGTATCAGTACAGGCTGGGGGATAAAAGGATTGAGAGCAGCGCTGCAGAGAAGGACTTGGGGGTACTGGTGGATGAAAAGCTGGACATGAGCTGACAATGTGCTCTTGCAGCCCAGAAGGCCAACCATATCCTGGGCTGCATCAAAAGAAGCGTGACCAGCAGGTCGAGGGAGGTGATTCTGCTCCTCTACTCTGCTCTGGTGAGACCCCACCTGGCATACTGCGTCCAGCTCTGGAGCCCTCAGCACAGGAATGACCTCGTGGAGGGGATCCAGAGGAGGGTCAGGAAGATGATCAGAGGGCTGGAACACCTCTCCTATGAAGAAAGGCTGAGAGAGTTGGGGTTGTTCAGCCTGGAGAAGAGAAGGCTCTGGGAAGACCTTATTGCAGCCTTTCAATACTTTAAGAGGGCTTATAAGAAAAATGAAAACAAACTTTTTAGCAGGGCCTGTTGCAATAGGACAAGGGGGGATGGCTTTAAACTAAAAGAGAGGAGATTCAGACCAGATATAAGGAAGAAATTATTTACGAGGGTGGTGAAACACTGGAACAGGTTGCCCAGAGAGGTGGTAGATGCCCCATCCCTGGAAACATTCAAGGTCAGGTTGGATAGAGCTCTGAGCAACCTGATCTAGTTGAAGATGTCCCTGCTCATTGTAGGGGGGTTGATTTAAAGCTCCCTTCCAACCCAAACTATTCTGATTCTTCCTCTGACCACTAGTTTTACTTCCAGTACGATGCACACACTCAAAAGGAGCAACTGATATACCTAAAAACCTAAGTGACCAAATCACCCTAGGATATGAAAGTTATTGACACACTCAGTTGGCAGACATAGAAACTACAAGGGATTTCTGCCTTTCTAGGGTGCTACCTGGAAGAAGGGCAAGAAACCTAAAAGTGCACTGAATGCCTACTTCCAGGCAACTGAATTCCACTCTAAGTTTGAAAACAGGTATAAACTACAAGTAAATCAGGATCACAAACTGCTTTCCAACTACCTTGAGATGTAATCTTAATTAAGGTAAATTTCACTACAACAACCAGAAAGTATTTCAAAGTATTAAAAAAAAAAAGCCAGGCAAAAACCTACAATACCACAGTTTACCACGTTACCCAATCAATGGGTTTCATTTATATATGTTAAAAAAATAATTGGACCTTTACTTTTATTAGAAAGGGTAAAAATACAAAGCAAAACATCGTACAGCTACTACCAACCCTGTTCCTGAAATCCAGACTCTCACGAGTGCTGATTGGACCTTGGAAAAACTCAAATTAATTCCACCTGAACACATTAGTTACAAATAGATCATTTCTCCCTGTTCCCTGTGACCTCTCAAAAAACATGTCTTTACACATACTTTTCTTCAATCCAAATATTTCCATCTTCATCCTTCTTAAAGTCAGGTGATTGACACATGGCACCACTGTTCTGTTCAATGAACTGAAAATATTCTGGCTGAAAGTTGTATATTTAAGTACCCAATGAGCTGGTAACACACAGAGGCAAATATGAAAAGAAGAGGAAAGTGTATTTGCTTCAAACAAAAAATTTCAAGGCATTAAAAAGAAATACATTGTAAAGTTCACGTCTCCAAGAAAGATCTTAACCTCAATAAGCAAAGATTGTTTCCAAATATTCTATTTATTCATACTCTGCAGCTATGCTGTGAAAGAATACCTAATTTTCTTAAACAATGAAACCACCTGTTCAATTTATTATATGGAATAAATATTAATAGCCTTGAGCGTGTGGTGTCTCAAGATTAAAGTGCCATAATTCTCTGGTTACATTACTAAGATTCGAGTCACCCAGCTCCTTATGGCTACAGATAATATCTAATCAGTTAATCAAAGATAAACCAAAACAGATAACCAGATGTCAAAATCATTAATCTTACCTGACAGGCAGATGTATGTTAAATATTCACCCTGACCCCCAGTAGCTAGGAAAGGAATCTTTTTTTTTGTTCTTCTTTTCACTTGGACAGCTCCCAGCATCCTTTCATCATGTGGGGCAAAAATTTCTTTGCTGATTGCAGATTTGGCATTCATTGTAGATCACAGATACAGCAGACTGCTCCTCTCTAAAAATAAAATCATAAATAAAAAAAATATTAGGAGTTTCTAAGTTATGTGAAAGTCCAGCTAACTTACAGGGGCATTAGCAGCTCTGACCTTCAAATAAAGTTTTTAATGATTCAAAGAATTTAGAAGATAATTTCATGCACTTAGAGGCAGAATTTTCAAAGTATCTAAGAGTCTTCACTTAAGTTGTTCTCCACACTTCTTAAATTATCTTAAACTAGCTTAGCTTATTTTGGGCAGAAGCTGTCCACACACACTTCAGTATGATGCAAAATTTTCTCAGAGGGACACCCTGTAACTTCATGCTGCATAAAAGCTTTATTAATTCCCTCTCTGGTAACTGTAGGGAAGCTCATCTGTCCCACATAGACAGGGAAAGCACTGCAAGGGCATAGGGAAGGAACACTGTGGTAGAGTTCATCAGCGTCCTCTCTGAGCTTAGTTGTGCTGGCAGACAAGAAGTCACATTCACAGAAGATACAGAAAGCTTCAGACTCAGTAAGACTGCTCCTTCAGGAGCACTGCTCTTGGTGACAGTACTTGATTAAGCAGCTCCTGCACCTCTCGCGCCTTTAGCGCCTCGTCCCCTCAACAACTTTGTAATTACCAACTGGGCAACTGCACAGAAACAGTGTCAGAGAAACCACCAGGGTTCAGGCAGGAAAAGCCACACCTCCTCTTTTCTGCTAAGTAATTTTGACCCAGGTCAGTTCCTCAATGTGTTTCATAAGAAAACAGCACAGTCAACTTAGGACAGACATTTGGAGAGGGGGAAGGAAAAAAAAAAAGAAAAGAAAAATGTAGAGAACAGGGAGGGAGAAGGAGGGAAGCTGCTTATTCAGGCGTGTCCAGCAAAAGAAAGGTCGATCTGACCACAGCTTACAGAGAAGCCTAACTGAAGGAGAGAACTCTGCTACAGAGCGGATAATAACAGGTTCTTTATCTAGAGAGCATCACAGTTACAACTCCAATGAGTTCTGCACTGAAATCTGTTAATATGTATACAGGCCCCACCGACAGAGACTACTGAATGCCCCTTTTAATTGTTCAAATACAATGACATTCCAATACACACACGTTAAATTTCACATCTCCATGTTATTAAGATTTTCAAGCCCACAGATCTTTTTTGACATCCTTAGCTTTCTTAGTATGAGTAAAATCATCTTCAGGTCTCAACTAGTGAAGCCAGAAATTCCGCCTGTGGCATCATTTGATATTTGCCACAATTTACCGATTAGGAAACATAACCTAATTTGGCTGGAATTTATCTATGAGGCCAAGAGAGTCATGGATCCATTATTTTTAGTGTGCATACTATCAACAAAATAATTGTCTTAACACTTTCAATCTCAACATTTTCTTGGCACTTATTTATGATGTTCCCTTATCTTCAAAAAAAAAAAAAAAAAAAGCTGTATTCATGGAGATGTGAGAGAGCACAAATTAGTCCAAATCAAATTCACCACCTATTTGTTTTAGGATGCAAAGAGAAACCTTTGCCAAAATAACCTGTAATAGTATACCTCAGTTGACCAATACAGAGGTATGCAAATTCTGACAAGTTTTAGCATTATGTGTTTTTTACATGCACCTTTACAAAAATTAATTGCATTTTAAAAAATGGCCCCATCAAAGGAAAAATCTAGACTAATTTCAAAGGAAGAAAAAATGTGCAGCTGCTGAAAAGATGCAATTTCATAACTCCTGCCATGTAAGTTACCTATCCTTTAAGCACAAATATATCAACATGAAAAAAGAATCAAAAGAATAAATTTACCTGCTGGTTACTTAGAAAACGTTCTTTTCACAGTCATGTTCATTATACCACAATTTTCTCCTCTTCTGTGTTATGAAAATATTTGCAGTATATCTTATACCAGCATGCGAGCTGCTGGCAGTTTATGACTAGTTTTGGGGTTTGGTTGGTTGGTTGTTTTGTTTGTTTGTTTTTGTTTTGTTTTGAAATTCAAGGCCACTGTCAATGACTGTGGGTTTAAATCACACAGATCTCCTCCTTCTGACTGGGATAAAGACTGATAACCTAAGCAAAAATAACTTCAGTCTCAGACCTTCAATTGCTTAAAGAATTTTCAATAAATAGCTTATTGAGAAAACACACACAAATGCTGTCAGGTAAAAATATACTAGAGTCACAGCCAACTGAAAAAGTGTTCTCCAGCTTGCAACGATCTGATGCTGTTAATTCTGCAACTGAGTTGTTGAATAGATGTTCTCAGTCGTTTTCTTGAGGTTCACACACCAAAATAAAGTGTGATTTCAAAGATATACTCAGTGATGTAAAGGATTCCTGGATTAAGAGGGGTTATGTTTTCCCTACCTACACTTAGTTGTAGTAGAAAACGTTATTGGTTTATAACTTCAAAACTTTCATACAGTACTTCAAGATTTACTTCAAGGATATTACAAGCAATAGGTCTCACTGTATATAGCTTCATTTGATAAGGCTCTGCTGAACAGGAGGCAAGCCAAACAAGAGACACTATCCATATCCTATTTCATAGATTTCCCAAACCATTTCACTTCATATGTGCACTGCAACTTACAGCATGAAACTAGAATGACTGCCACATAGACAATAACCCAAAAGAAATGCAAAACCTAGGAGATTTAATTAATATACCTCTCTATGTATACACATACCTATCTCTTAATGCAAGTGCTTTTACACACAAACAACATACAAATCCAGCTTTAAATAAAGCCTAGCTCAACACAATATTCCAAGACAGATTACATCTATTTCAGTAGACACACGGAAGACATGACATAGAACAATTAGATATTGCAGTTTATTGCTGCATGCTGTTATTTGCTTTGTGATTAAGCTGGTTGTATAGACATCCACCAGAAGCTGTACACAGACAGATGCTGTAGACACCAAACGTTTTAACTGGAACCTCTAAAGCACACACTCGCTCCCTAGGACAGTTGTGATCCTTCTGTTGGTTTACAACAGCCTCAGATGCCAGAATTAACCAACTAATCTAATGCAGTGTTACTTGATATTGACTGCGGAATCTAATATGGAAACTGACATGGCACAAACCACAAAAGCCTGTTTATTTAAAAAAGAAAACAACTAACTGTGCCAGTGTGCAAACAGAGATTGAGCTGTCAGTATGGTTTGGATGAAGTTGTTTTACATAGGTCAAAAAAAAAAAATCAGTAGCTGGGTTTACACAAGCTACCTTCTCCATATTTACTGGTGGATCTATGGGAGTTGGACTCGATCCTTATAGGTCCCTTTCAAATTGAGATGTTCTATGATTCTATGAAAAGCAAAGGTTACATTAAAGTCTTAAGTAAGTAAAACATTCCAGCACTTTCCTTTTTCAAAAGCAGGCGTAATGGAATCTTTTTATTAGTCTCACTAAAAAATATGGCAGACTTCCTCAAGGAACATGAATAAGTCACAATTTTTCCCATTCTCCAACAAAAGTACTTCTTTTCATCTAAAAAAAATATGCTGGCGGTACAAGCAAAACTTCATGTAGTACATGCAGACTTCTTTACACGGTAATGTGTATTCTTGGCGCACATTCCAGGACGAATTCAAACCATCAGCAGTTTCCACTCATGGCCTATGTGGACTCACACACTTCGGAATGCAAACAGTTGCCCCCATGCTTGAATATTAAATGCTTTAAAAGTTGAAACTTTTACTGGAGGATCTCTGAGCACTCTGAGACAGTGCATTATTGTTCACAACGTCTACCCTGCTGTGGCAAGAGGGATTTAAATATTTCAGTAACTGTAAGAGTCTTTAAAGAGAGCCCGCATTTCCTGCCTCACGTGCTTTATTTGTTCCATGTACTTCATTCCACTCAAATTATTATAATGCTTTTGGCTGAACAAAGAAAATTCCATTTTCCTCCCGCAGATTTTCACTCCAGCCATCACAGTGCTATGGAAAAGGATGTCGACATTTACACTGTGCCCCCAGCACTCAACAGAAACACCGAAGAGGGAAGATTCCTGCGCAGATTTGAACTAGTGCCTGTAACGCTGCCCATCTGCATCTCCTCCGATCTTTCTCTGCTGCAATTCTTGTCCATGACATTTCTATCACTAAAACCTCCTCCTAGGAACAGCTGACCATTCCTCTATATGTGCGTATGAGGGGACAGGGATTAAAGGTAACTTCCAAAAAAGATATTAATAAAACCAAGATACTTAAGCCGATACCTTCACAGACCCCACACGTTCAGTAACAAAAAACTTGGACTGTTTTCTAATCAGCCAGAATCTCTGACTGTTTTCGGGCAGACAGCCAGCAAGCAGCTGACTTATCTTTGCATCCAGATGTTTTATAGTACCATGCAAGTAAGTGGAAAAAAGATTTTCAGCGTCTTTGTTGAAGTATTGGCACACAGAAGGAACTGGGGAAACTAATCCTCAGCATGCAGAATTTAAATAGTAGTAAATTAACAAGGAGAAATGAAATAAGAAGAGAAGGAAAAGCAAGTAATGTGTTCCAAAAAAGAAAACATGTTCAGTATGTTAGTCTCGCTGTTTTCAAGGATCTTTAGTTTAATCACAAACAGGGATGGGCTCACAGAACAGGCTAACCACTGAAATGCTGCCTGCAGTATGAAATCATCTGAGCAAACAACTATCACTGCACTGCATTGGTAGCTCTAGCAAGCACTCAGATCTGCTTTTAGTAAAGCCACCATCCTGACGGAGGACATCTACTTTAGGAAATCATTGCAAGACACCATTACTAAAAGCCCACCTTCTGCTATAGTGAAAATTGTCTGGTATTTACTTGCGGGAAGTGTTGAGACTACATATTTGATCATTACCATTCATCAAAATTTTGTATTTGTTGTAGTGTCAAATAGGTAGTATGACTTCGGAGAAGCACAAAATCATTGCTAAATGAAGGCAAATAACTTATAAATCCTTAAAAAGCAAATATTAGAACATACAATTTCTAAAGTTGGTTTGGAATAGATTTATTTAGCTTAACTCT